ATTTTTTTAAGGCTGTGGAAAGCTCATCAATTCCTGGATTAATCTTCTCTCCCAACAATAGCAAGTGCACTTGTTCTATCGTTGCAAACCTCACGGCTTTTGAGGGTTATGACTTATTCACTGCATATAAAGAGGGGCATACTTACGGTTTAGGGACTTGACGGCACAGTGCTGCTTCTGCCCATCTTGCTCAAGCAACGTTCCATGGAAAACACAGCCGAAGTGGCCTGCAGGTTACAACATGACATACAGCATTAGTCAAAGTACACATTCAGGAGTGCAAAACCTCATGTTCAAACCTGTGAGGTATAAAATTTATTTAGTCCACCTGGGGGTCATGTCTTTTTCCAGTCCAGTTTGAGAGATGTGTGGCTTTTTTCATTCCAATTATATTGAGAATGATTTAGTTATAAATGAATCAGTGAGTTAAGACAATTACAGCAAGAACAAATCCCACTGTTTGTTCAACTCAATTATGTTAGAATTGCTAATGAAAGTTCTTAAATCTACAATGACATCAAATTAGATGTTTCTGACACAAGAAGCAAGCGCAAGGAATTTGGCAGTGCACAAAAGTACACGCCAACTTGCAACTTCATGCCCCTTTGTGCTCACTGATTCAGTCTGCCCATAAATGGGTACATCTGTAGGACAGCATTTAAATTACTCACTTGGCCTGCTTTCAGACTTTGTGCAGACTTTCTAAGTCTCCTAAATTCAGATCTTGGCTTACAGATGTGACTATGTCATTACAGGCAGTAACAGCCCCCAGACTCCATGATCACAGCATTTCAAGAAATTAGACATGTTATGTTCTCTGCTCACATATGAACTGAAGTCTAGAGCATAAGGATCAAGGTGCTTTAACTGGTTTATGGGTTTCACACCTTAAACAGAGAACTCTCAAGTTACTCACACAATAAATCTGCCCCCACAAAGTAACCCTGTATGAAGTTTTATTCATTAATACCCTACACAAGCAAGCAACAAGTGTCAAGCCTCCTTGAGTTATTGTGCATTTTATTGAATTATATCAACCTTTTAAGCCATGGGGGCTTCGCCCAGACTGGGGAGGGTTAAGAATTCAAATAGGCGCGGAGGTCTCCTATCACATCTTTGCAGATGGCTGAGGGTGTTGAATTACAGTTGTGATCAACAGATCCTGTGAACAAATTACCCTATGCTACTTTGAAACACTTCAACAGCAACCATGAGCCAAACTTTTTTCTTTAAGGGATGAATTTAGTTAAGGGGGCAAAGTACAGTTTTGTGGAGTTTTTGAAATTTTTGGGGTCTCCTCTTGATAACAAATTTGATCAGTGGGCAACCCAGCTAAATGCAGCTATATAACGTGTTTTTGTGTCTGCATGTCAAGTTTGTGGTTTAGTGAAGAAGCTGATTAAACTCTATGAGACTAAGTTTAGTTTTTGTATGGCTTGCATAAATATAAAGCATTAAACCAAGCTGCCATGATGATATATTTCTGAAATCTAACCTGTGTGTAAGAACACCAAATTCTCATTATTTCTTCGTTTAGCAATGGAGGTTTAAGTTACAAAGGCAGTATAAGCACTTTGAATGCCAAATGGGCTGTTATAGCTGCAATGAATTGGAGATCAAAACACTTAAACTGATTCATTTCTTGAACAGCAAAAGTGGCTTCATCTAAGAAACAACATATTTTTCTGATCGTTACTATAAACACTTATCAAATATCTCAATATTACAATATCACAGACATCTTTCAAGATGATGTCATTATGTAAGGGGTTTATTAACTGGTCATGTTTTATTGAACTGTTCTATTGATCTATACAATTATTATAATTTGTTTGTAGCAATCGTCTGTCATCAAGATCGCTGTTTTTCTGTCATGTTAAATGCACAGCTCTGCATGCATTACTTACATTAAAAGCTATGTAACGGCAAGTTTTAGTGATTAGATATCTATAATATTTGCTTTTCTATATTACATACAATATTCATCTATCCTTCATTTCAGTCATCATTAAGCTGCTCTGTCATGAGTGCTGAAGAAATTTGCCTTTTCACAAATTTGCACAAATATAAAGAAAAATAAGTTGTAAAAACATTTACTTTATTAGTAAAAAAGTGTTGCCTGACCTCTGCCGATGACCTGGTTTAGGTGGACTAGCAGTTGTTCCCTGGTAATCATCACGTGCTGCACCTCAGTCAGCAAGTCTGGGTGAAGACAGGATGGGTCAATGTGGACGGGGGCCATCAGCAGGGGTGACACCAACTCACTTTCCATTCTCAGACCCATCCCACCTCTCAGAGCCCCCTGTCTTGGTGACAGCAGCTCCCCATTGCCCCCATAGACAGGAGGAGCACCCCGACATGTCTCGGGCCTATCAGCACCCTGATCTGGAGAAAAAAAAAGAATGGTGGAGTGGTCAGAGGTCAGAGACTGGAGGCAAGCAGAGCTAGATGCTGTTTGTAGAGTGAATGCAAAAGCTATCTAAAAAGAGAAACAGTCAAGGACAGCTGACAGAGCTAACAGGCTTAAATATTGTGAGCGAATGATCACACGAGTCAACTTTCCCTACAGGCAAGCATGAGCTCATTAGTAACTATACCTTCTCAGGTTATAAGCCTCAACAAAAATTGCTTCACCCATTACACTAAATATCCCAGTATAAGGAGCCTCTGAGGCCCTCAGGATTCAAATGAACAGAAAACAAGCTAAAAAATACACTTAAAATTAGGAAGATTACATTGATGAGAGTTCAAAACGGTCTCAAACCTCACTGGTTTGAGACCATCTTAAAGAGCTATTTATCATGACAACATAAATGTCATGTGTTCATGTGCAATTAATGTGTGATTTACAGATTACTTCCTTTGAATAAGTTGACATTTTTGGCTTAACCATCCATGACAGCAATTTAAACTAGTTGATATTTCAAGGTTTTTCCAAATAGTATAAAAGACAGGAGCCCTTAACCCATCCTTGCTCATCAAACACTGGGTATGTAATGAATGCTGCTACTGATTGAAGTAATTAATTTATGTCATCTCTTTCTTTTACACTCCTTCTAGATGGTTTCCAATCCTTATATTGCTTAACCGAAATACACAAATGGATGAATATCAACAAGTTTAATTCTAATTAAATGTAATTTAATTCTAATTCAACCCGCATGAATATTCCCATCCAATGATTTTTTAGTTTATTCAACGTTCACAATATCCATCCATCCATCCATCCATCCATCCATCCATCCATCCATCCATC